TATGGACTTCAGATTCTTTGGTTTCACAAGATTTAAAGCAGCACACCTTTGAAGAAGTTGCAGATTCCTCAAACTGTGTTTTGGGTAAGAATGTAAACTCTAGTTACATCACTGAAGGTCCATCTGCAGCTGTAGGAAGCAGCTTTTCAGCAAACTTGGTGGCATGTGATGCAAAGTCACAAGGTGCTTTACCAATGGTCAGTAATGCACCATTAATTGCAGTTGGCCAAAAGACATTGCTGAAAGCTGATACAGGCCAAGGTGAAATTCCTCGGCCTTTGGGAGCCAAGTCCAGGTTTACTATACATACAATTATGCAAAATGACTCCTATTTTGTAGAGGGCCTGCAGGGGAAGGCTGAATCTGACACCTGTACTCTGGATGATGATACTGAATGCTGTAGCGTAGATGAAAATGCTGTTGTATGCAGTAAAAGACAAGAGGTGAGACAATAAAATGAGTACTGGGGAGAGACATGGTCTTTTTCATTATTGTTTTAGAAAACAGTATTGTTTGTTTTTATTTTTACTTTTTACTGTTTCCCAGATATGTGACCAAGGTGACTTGACTGGTGAGTGCGTTGAGGTAGCAGGTTTAGAAAATTTGCTTGATGATCTAGAGATTTGTGACAGCTCCCTGCACTGGCAGTCTACTGTACAGCTACCATCTAAGGAAGACAGCAGTTTTGAAGATTCTGTAAGTCTTTCTGTTTGACATTTCTTATATGGTGGGGAAAGAAATTTTAGTTGAAAAACGGGGATGAGAATAAAGGGCTACTTATATCCTCTGATACCAAATTGCGATGTGTAATCTAGTTTTCATCTGATATCCAGGAGTATGCTACATTAATTTATTAGAGGTTGGCATAAAAGAAATGTTTGTGTTTTGTAGACCATGAGATTCAGTAAGTTCTATGGTGTTTTGGGAAAATAGGCCAGCCTTTGGAGCATCCAGGCCTTTCATCTTGAAATGTCTTAACTCTTTCAAATTGTGCCAGCAAGAACCTCTGGGGTGGTGTTAAGAGTAAACACATTCATGGAGATACTCAACTGTGCTTTTTTCACCCACTGGCCTTCAGTGTAACCGCCCTTGGAATAGGCCCTGAAATATTCGGGTATTTCTCTTTAGAAGCCCCTGAAAGATTTTAATTTCAGAGATATCTTAAAGTCAAAATTTTGTTTTATACAAGGCTTGATTTGCTTGGATCCTTGAATCTTTTGGCTTTAATGGTTCTCTGGTCCCATTGCCCATCTGGTTTTGTCTGATACTGTCAGTCCCACCCTGAGTCCTGTTACCTGATAATGTATCCTTACATTCTATTGGTCATTAAATATAGTTAGGTCATACATATGGTGCACTTAATGTTATTTTTGTTTTCCTGTTTTCCCATGTAATATGTCATTGGAAAGCTGCTAGTTAGAGTTGCAATTATATTTTGACCTGTAGGTTTGGGTACTTAAAAAGAAAAAAATGAACAATAATATTGTGATGAGCTTTTCCTTTTATTTCAGTTTATTGAATTTATTTACAGATAGTAGAATTTATTTATAGGTAGTTTTATTTTCTTCAACATTCTAGACATTGTTTACTTCTAATTTTCAATTTAATAACAATGGGGATGAAAATGATAGCTAACATTTTGTGCTCAAATAACTGTGCTAAGAGGTTTACTTTATATCTGATACCTCAATTCATTTAATCCTTTGGTCAGTCCTATCAGGTAGGATTATAGAGATACCAAGGGAACATTTCCCTTGATACCAAAGATGGGCCAATACCAAAGATGGGCTCAATAAAGGACAGAAATGGTATGGACCTAATAGAAGCAGAAGATACTAAGAAGAGGTGGCAAGAATATACAGAAGAACTGTACAAAAAGATCTTTATGACCCAGATAATCACGATAGTGTGATCACTCACACTCACCTAGAGCCAGACGTCCTGGAATGTGAAGTCAAGTGAGCCATAGGAAGCATCACTACGAACAAAGCTAGTGGGGGTGATGGAATTCCAGTTGAGCTATTTCAGATCTTAAAAGATGATGCTGTGAAAGTGCTGCACTCAATATGTCAGCAAATTTGGAAAACTCAGCAGAAGCCACAGGACTGGAAAAGGTCAGTTTTCATTCCAATCCCAAAGAAAGGCAATGCCAAAGAATGCTCAAACTACTGCAGTTACACTTACCTCACACGCTAGTAAAGAAATGCTCAAAATTCTTCAAGCCAGGCTGCAACAATACGTGAACTGTGAACTTCCAGATGTTCAAGCTGGTTTTAGAAAAGGCAGAGGAACCAGAGATCAATTTGCTAACATCCACTGGATCATCAAAAAAGCAAGAGAGTTCCAGAAAAACATCTATTTCTGCTTTATTGACTATGCCAAAGCCTTTGACTGTGTGGATCACAACAACTGTGGAAAATTCTTCAAGAGATGGAAATACCAGACCACCTTACCTGCCTCCTGAGAAATCTGTATGCAGGTCAAGAAGCAACAGTTAGAACTGGACATGGAACAACAGACTGGGTCCAAATAGGAAAAGGAGTACATCAAGGCTGTAAATTGTCACCCTGCTTATTTAACTTATATGCAGAGTACATCATGAGTAACACTGGGCTGGAAGAAGCACAAGCTGGAATCGAGATTGCTGGGAGAAATAGCAGTAACCTCAGATATGCAGATGACACCACCCTTATGGCAGAAAGCGAAGAAGAACTAAAGAGCCTCTTGATGAAAGTCTCTTGATGAGAGTGAAAAGTTGGCTTAAAACTCAACATTCAGAAAACTAAGATCATGGCATCTGGTACCATCACTTCATGGCAAGTAGATGGGGAAACAGTGGCTGACTTTATTTTTCTGGGCTCCAAAATCACTGCAGATTGTGACTGCAGCCATGAAATTAAAAGACGCTTACTCCTTGGAAGGAAAGTTATGACTAACCTGGACAGCATATCAAAAAGCAGAGACATTACTTTGTCAACAAAGGTCCATCTAGTTAAGGCTATGGTTTTTCCAGTGGTCATGTATGGATGTGAGAGTTGGACTATAAAGAAAGCTGAGCTCCGAGGAATTGATGCTTTTGAACTGTGGTGTTGGAGAAGACTCTTGAGAGTCCCTTGGACTGCAAGAAGATCCAGCCTGTCCATCCTAAAGGAGATAAGTCCTGGGTGTTCATTGGAAGGACTGATGCTGAAGCTGAAACTTCAATACTTTGGCCACCTGATACGACGAGCTGACTCATTTGAAAAGACCCTGATGCTGGAAAAGATTGAGGGCAGGAGGAAAAGAGGATGACAGAGGATGAGGTGGTTGGATGGCATCACCGACTCGATGGACATGGGTTTGGGTGGATTTCAGTAGTTGGTGATGAACAGGGAGGCCTGGCAGTTTATGGGGTTGCAAAGAGTCCGACATGACTGAGTGAATGAAAACTGAACTGATTATCATCCCCATTTTACGATTGATATTTAGAGGGTTAAGGAACTTGCTGATAAATCATTTAGCAAGTAGGGGAACTAGTATTTGAAACTAACCTGTATGTATACTTAATGAATATACCATAAACTGCCTCCCTGTTTAACTGTTCTTCAGTGACACCAAAGCCAAGATTTTGCATTATTTTGGCAAGAATGAAGGTCAAAGTTAGTTTTAATAAGAATGAGAAGCAAAATATCAATTTTAAACTTAGAGTTTCTTTTTGTTCTTTTTCTTTCAGTTTTATTGAGGTATAATAAGTTTAAGGGATACAGTGTAATGACTTGACTTATATACGTCATGAAATGATTACCACGGTAGTTTAGTGAACACCCATCATTTCATAAAGATAAAAAATTAAAGAAATAGAAAAAATTTTTTTCCTATTATTAGAAATCTTAGGATTTACTCTTTTAAAATAGCACTGTTAATTATATTTAAACTTGAGTTTTATATATAAAACTTGAATTTTTTTTATTAGAACTACTTTTGTAATTTATGTCAACTTTTCACATAGATAAAGTCTATTTGAAGACATACGATATATATTTATTTAGTTAATAGTGATGTGCTGAGATTAACTCTGACACAATACCAAATTTTATTTGCCCTTAACTGTAACTTGAAGTATATATTTTTTAGTCCAGGGAGGGTGCTCTTTTCTATGTTGACTTTCATTCTTAGGTCTCTACTATGGTCTGGGACTTATATAATGCTAAATATTAGAGAAGCAATGAGTAATGGTAATCATCTTTCTACGTGGCTCGACTTGCTCTCAGTAGGTTTGCCTACTTTTTAGTTTCTTCCTTATTCTCATCTATGTCTCAGAAGAGTCGTTCATACTTGTTTGTCTCACTTTGATACCTATCCATCATTCTCTGAATGACTATTTGGGTATCCACTTATGTATGATGTAGGTTGGGGCTATGAAGAGAGTGTGGAGAATTGTAGTGAGATTGTAGTGACTTGTTCACTACATCCATGTTCAGTTACTTTGTTAGCCTTGTACCTTGGTCAAATGATTTTGGAGGATCATTCTCCTTCCTTGTCTACATAAAGAAATAAGCAGTAATAATCAACCTCAAATATTGTTATATTGAATGGGGTAAGGTATATATTATGTATATAGTGTCTGGCTGGTAATTCCCTTTAATTTAGTGAAATCAGATCAGGCTATTACCAGGAGTTTCCTATTCTAATTTGTTGTTTTGTTCTTTCTCTTGCCTTGTTCCTAGAAGCATATTGCATTCTTTTAGCCTCTATAATAAAATACTGTTTTAGTATTCCTTATTTCAGCCATATTAACTCTTAACTATTACTTAAGGTTGACTCCTTAGATCTCTTTCCTTTTTGTCTTGTTGGTTCCCTATCCATCCCATGGACTTCCCTGTTAGCTCAGAAGGTAAAGAATCTGCCTACAGTGCAGGAAACTGGGTTCAATTGCTGGGTGGGGAAAATCCCCTGGAGAAGGAAATGGCAACCCACTCCATTAGTCTTACCTGGAGAATCCCATGGACCGAGGAGCATAGTGTGCCCCAGTTCATGGGGTCACAAAGAGTCTGACAAAACTGAATGACTAACATTTATCTTAATCTTAAATTAAGATTTAAATGCTTTTCTCTGTGTGAATGGTTATCACATCCATTTTTAGACCCTAATATTTTGCCTACATAGACCCATATACTATACTGTATGACATTTTGTTGTGAATATTCCCATCATCTCAAATTTACCTTGCCCAAATCAGAATAACTTATCTTTTTTCTAAAGTCAGAGTGACTTACAGATTTTCTGTTCTTCTAGAGGTGTTAACATTTCTTGGTTTCTTTATTGTCATTGATTCTATCTTCATTGTTGATTATAAACTAGGAAATAAACCAATCTTGATTTTTTTCCCTCCTAACTCCCCTATTTTTAGTGATAAATATCTGTTGATCTCTTAAATATGTCCCATCTTTTTCATTCTACATTTTCTTTTTTATTACCTACTCTAATATCCATATATTTTGAAGCTTTGAAATTTGAAGTCAAAATTGGGATAGAAATCGTTTTCCCTGTGTTTAGAAGCTTTAGGGGGAAACTGCTATTAAACACAGTGTGCACACACTTGTATTCATCTATCACATATGTGATATATACAGTTGACCTTGAACAAGGTGTGAATTAGGGGCACTGAAAATCCATAGTTGGCCTCCTGTATCCCCAATTCCACCAAATCCAGGATTCTTCCACAGCCACAGATTCATCCAATCTTGGATCATGTGTAGTACTGTAGTATTTACTGTTGAAAAAAAAAATCCGAAGATGGTGGCGGCGGCCCGCTTGGGCTGGGGAGCTGCTGCCTCGGGGCTGCGGAGGCAATTCTGTCATGTGACGGATCCATATACAATTAAGAAACAGCTTCTGCATCAGTTTGTCCAAAGACCGCTTTTCCCACTCCCTGCAACCTTATGTAACACAGTGAGATACGTTTATTCAAACACAAGATACCCCAAATCCCAACAGTTTAAAGTTTATTCCAGGAAAACCAGTTCTTGAGACAAGAACCATGGATTTTCCCACACCAGCTACGGCATTTCCCTCCCCTCTGGCTAGGCAGTTATTTAGGATTGAGGGAGTAAAAAATGTCTTTTTTGGACCAGATTTCATCACTGTCACAAAGGAGAATGAAGAATTAGACTGGAATTTACTGAAACCAGATATCTATGCTACTATTATGGATTTCTTTGCATCTGGCTTACCTTTAGTTACTGAGGAAACACCTTCAGGAGAAGCAGGACCTGAAGATGATGATGAAGTTGTGGCAATGATTAAGGGATTGTTAGATACTAGAATACGGCCAACTGTGCAGGAAGATGGAGATGTAATCTATAAAGGCTTTGAAGATGGCATCGTACAGCTGAAACTCCAAGGTTCTTATACCAGCTGCCCCAGTTCAATCATTACTCTGAAAAATGGAATTCAGAACATGCTGCAGTTTTATATTCCAGAAGTAGAAGGCGTAGAACAGGTTATGGATGATGAATCAGATGAAAAAGAAGCAAACTCACCTTAAACTCATTTGAGTTTTCTGTGGGCCCATCATATGTACTAAGCTTTTATTATTAATCTGCTAAGCAATTTAGGATTAATGTCCCTTCTTCAAAGAATGATAAAAAAAGAAAGAAAAAAAAAATCCATGTATAAGTGGACCAGTACAGTTTAAACCTATGCTGTTCAAGGGTCAACTGTACATTAGTGAGCTGTGTGTCTCCTTCAGCAGTAGGAGAGTTGTAAACTAAGAACTTTGTGTTATGTTTAGAGCAGGATTTCTCCACGTTATTGGTTTGGGGTTGGCTAATTCTTTGTTGTGTGGGGCTGTTCTGTGCATTTTAGTATGTTTAGTAACATCCCTGGCCTCTTATGTGCTGAATGTCAGTAGCATTACCTCCACTAAAGTTCGGACAGAGAAAAATGTCTCCAGGCATTGCCACATGTTCCTTAGTGGGGGAGGTGAGGGAGTATAAAATCTTCCCCAGTTGAGAACCATGGGTCTAGAGAAACGATATAGGCAGTAAAAGTAGAATTATTTATTTTCATGTTTTGCAAACTTCATAAGAATGTTTGTTACTACACAATGAAAAAAACTTTCATAAAGAGGATAGAAAAATTTCAGACTCCATCCTGGGAGGACAGCACTGAAATAATATTTTAGGAAAATAAACCTAAAAGTGGTATGTTGTTTTTATATGAGAGTATATGTATACTCATATATTAATATATGGCAGTATATTTTGTGAAGAGTTGTATATATTTATGTACCAACATCACTAATAATAGTTTCTAATTTCTTTTTTAGCAAGGACTTGCTGGAATGCCATGAAACTTCAGGAACTTCTTTTTCAGCATTTAACTTTTATTTCATCAATTTATATTTCCTACTTTCTTTGTTTCAAGAAATTTGAGGACTTATGTTTTTTGGTAACTGATCACAGATCCAGTTCTTTGGTGCTTTTATTTTTCTTCTAAACATTTGTGGATTTCTTGAAAATATTTCTGTTCTCACTTCTTTCCTTACCCTAGCATATCTTTCCTACTTAAGGGGAAAAAAAATCCTTGAGCTTGTCAAGAATATTACAATATTCAAATCCTGCAGTGTTCATACAATTATTGTTAGGATCAAACTTCTGAGTGATAGAACACTATTACGTCTCTTATCTGTAATATTCAGTACAGGTTGACTTGAAAACCCTCAATAATTTGTAGAGCCTTCTTGGAATTAACCAAATAAGATATGACAATATATATGAATTCAAGAGAATTAAGAGTATGATCTTAAGGAACTGGTATAACTGTTTAGCATTCATTTTCATAAAAATGAGGTTTATTTTTTAGTAGATGAAGTCTGAAATTAATCTTCCTCTTTTTTCATAGGTATGTCCTTCTAATACGGACATTAATGAATCTTTTTCATCTCTGTTGCCTCCGTTTGTTTCTCATGAGCCAGCTAGAGATTTGGAGTATCACTCTTCAAATCTCAGAATGTTAAGGGTATCTCCTGACACTGTGTCAAGGACTCTCAAACCTTTAACAGGTACGTAGAGAAGGATATATTGTGTCTTTATAACTAGCTTGCTATGCCTAATTTTTAACTTTTGAACTGCAATGATGTTAACTTTGGATTAGGTATATTTATAAATCCTCAGATATTTTTTTAGATGAACCATTTAATTTTTCATTGAGTTCTTCATGACAGTGTTTAGAACTGAATTACACGGAGGAATCTGATATTAAAGTGAGTTTGTTTCTATATTCCTTTTTGTGACTTGAAGGAAAAAGGGAGTTGAATGAACACAGGAGCAGATGCAAGTTTATAGAGAGGAGACTGAGAAATTAATTTTGAGGTAGAAAGCAAGATTGTCTGAAGAGGGAGGTGGAGAGTTGTGGAGGTGGGTGAGGGGATTTGAGGACAATGGCTTGGTGAAGGCTTAGAATTTATGTTAAAGTGAGTAGGGGAACTGACCAAGGTTAAAAAAATGGATTGGCAGGTAGTTCTAAGAGGTGAGGTTGATGACTATCCTGGACATTTTCATGTAAGTGAAATCATACAATATGAGATCTTTTGTGGCCAGTTTCTTTTTACTGGGTACATTTTCAAGATTTATCTATGTTATAGCATATATCAGAACCATTTTTATTGCCAAATAATAGTTCATAGTGTAGATATATCACATTTTGTTTGCCTGTTCATCAGTTGATGGACATTTGGGTTGTTTCCACTTTATGATCGTTAAGAATAATGCTGATGCTATATGAGCATTCATCTACAGGGCTTTGTGTATTTTTATTTCTGTTTGGTGTGTATCTATGAGTGGGAATTTTTGGTTCATGGTAACCATGTTTAAAATTTTGAATATCTGCTAAACAGTTTTCCAGAGAATGAGCACCATATCACCTTCCCAACAGCATTATGAGGGTTGTGACTTCTTTACATCCTCAGCAACACTTGCATTTCTGCCTATTTTGTTATAGCCCTCCTGGTAGGTATGAAGTAGTATCTGTGGTTTTAGTTTATGTTTCCCTAATGGCTAATGGTATTGAGCATCTTTTGTTGTGTTCATTGGACAATTATATATCTTCTTTGGAGAAATGTCTGTTAAAATCCTCACTCACATTTTAATTGGGTTATTAACTTTTTGTTACTGCATTTTAAGAGTTCTTTATATCTTGTAGATACAGGTCCCTTATTAGATATGTTATTTGTAAAAATTCTCCCACTCTTGTTGGGTTATCTGTTCACTTACTTGATGGTATTGACTTCACAAAATTTTTAATTTTGATAAAGTCTTATTTTATCTGTTTTTCTTCTTTTTTAAAGTTAGTTTTAAATAGTGGTAAAATACTGATAATGTTTCATCTTAGCTATTTTTACATATATAGTTCATTGGCGTTAATTAAGTACATTGACATTGTCATGTAAACAATGTCATGCATTCACAAAGCTCCTTCATCTTATAAAACTGGAACTCTGTATCTAAATATTAAATGGTAACTCCCCATTCCCTCCTACTTCTGCATCCACCATGGTTCTACTTTTCACCTCTGCTGTGAATTTGACTACTCTAGGTACCTCATATAAGTGTTTGTCTTTCTGTGACTGATTCATTTCACTTAGAAGAATGTTTTTTAAGTTTTATTCATGGTGTAGCAGGTGTCAGATTTCTTTGAATTTGTAGATTTTTTTGAGAATATTGCCATATTAATAACTGCATATTTTGATCTGTGAACATGGAATTTCTTTTTGTTTATTTAGGTCTTCATTTCTTTCAACAGTATTTTGTAGTTTTCGCATACAACTCTTGTATGTGCTTGTTAAATTCAAGTATTGAAATTTTTTTGATGTTACTATACATGGAAATGTTTTCTTAATTTAATTTTTGGAATAGTCACTGCTAGTGTATAGAAATAAAGTTCAATTTTGTATGTTCATCTTGTAGCTGGCAACCTTACTGACCTACCTCTTTGTTATTCCTAATAATTTTTTGTGTGGTTTTCTTATTCTTGTATACGAGCTAATGTCATCTGCAAATAGAGATGTCTTCTTCCTTTCTAGAATGTATTCTTTTTTGTATATTTCCCCAGTTTCCTTGACAAGAACCTTGAGTACTGTGTTGCCTATAAGTGGCAAGGGCAGTCTTCCTTGTCTTGTGCAGGTCTTTGTGGGAACGTCTTTTATCATGTTAGCTGAGGGGTTTTTGTAGATGCCCTTTATCAGGTTGAGGAAATTCTTTTTTATTTGTAGTTTCTAGAGTGCATTTATCATGTAAAGGATGTTAGATTTTGTCAGATGCTTTTTCTGTATTTTTTAAATGATGGTTGTATGATTTTTGTTCTTTATTCTAATATTATGACATATTATTAATTAATTTTCAGATGTTGAGTCAACCTTGCTTTCTTTGTTATAAACACTACTCAGTTATGGTGTATCCTTGTGTGTGCTGTTGGACTGATTTTACCAGTGATTTTTTGGGGGGGAATTTTGTGATTCATAATAGATACTGATGTGCAATTTCTTGCCCTTTTTTTGGGGTTAGGTTTTGGTACAAAAGTAACACTAGTGTCATAAGTTGAGTTAGAAATAATTTGAGTTTTCTTTCTCTTTCTCTTTTTGTGAGTCTAGCTAAATTTTGTCCCTATTGTTGATCTTTTCAAAGAAATTTTTATTTCTCCTCTTTTTCTAATCTCTATTTTTTCTACTTCTTAAGTCTCTACTTGCATTTTAGTTTCCTTTTGTTTCCTTTCTTTAATTTGCTTCAGTTTTAGTTTGTGCTTTTTATTGTTTCTTATGATGAAAAGTTAGGTTATTGATTGGAGGTTTTTTGTTTTAATATAGGTATTTATGTTGATAGATTTCTAAAGACTAACTGCATGCCTTAACTTTTGGTTTGTTGTGTTTTTGTTTTAATTCATCTAAACTGTTTCCTAATATAATTGTAGGAGTTCTTTTAAACTTTATTGAGGCATGTTTTACGTCCTACCATATGGTTTATCCTTTAGAATGTATGGTTTGCCCTTGAGAAGAATGTGCATTCTGTTGTTGTTAGGTGGTGTGTTCTATGCATGTGTCTTAGTTCCGGTGGGTTGATAGTGTTCAAGTCTGCATCTTGTTGATCTTCTGCTAATTTTCTCCATTTTTGAAAGTAGGGTATTGAAATCTCCAACTATTATTATTTATTTCTCCCTTTTCTGTCAGAACTGCTTCATATATTTTGATATTATATTTTGATACTTAGTGAATTTATGTTTCTAATTGTTATATAGTCCTGATGAATTGGGCTTTTTGTTGTATGTTGTCCCTCTTTAATTCTAGAAACATTTTGTTTTGTTTTAAAGTCTATTTTGTCTTATATCAATGTTGACATCCCACTTCTTATGGTTGCTGCTTGAATGTCATATCTTTACTCATCCCTTTTAGCCTAGTTATGTTTTTGAAGCTCAGGTTTATATCTTATAAGTAACTTAAATCTGTATCTTTATTTCTTAATTCTGGAATGATAGTCTTTGCCTTTTAATGTGATTGTTTAATCCCTTCACATTTAATGTAATTATTGATAAGGTTGGGTTTATAGTTGCTGATTTCCTTTTTGTTTTCCATCTGTCTCATGTCTTTTTT